CATACCAAGGACCATTATAGGACTATTCACACTTTGATACTGACCGTGGGCTTTGCCCCTTTGGCTTTAAATGTTCTGAGGTGAGGATTTTAAAAGTAAATATTGATTTGTCTCCATGGCTGCGATTAGAACACTAATAATGTTTGTTTACATTTGCTTTGACATTTCAAATTAAACAAGAAGAACTGCTAAATTGCATATTTCACAATTTCAGCCAGCTGATAGGGTAAATATGATATTTTCCATAACTATGAGGTAGGTTTATTTTAATCTAAAGTTCTATCATGGATTATTTATTCTAAAACTATGTCAATGATTATAAAAAAAAGATTCTATAACCGCTGTATCAACTCCGGCTCTGCTTTGGGATTTTTAAAGCGTTTAAAGTTATGAAAATAATGTTACTGTATTTATGATTTCATGGAAACAGTATGAAAATTACAACGTATATGAATATGAATATGAGGTTTATATGAATTTGGAGGTTTTTTTTTTAATTCGAACTGATTAACATGTTTTGGATAAACTTAACATAACTTGCACTTCACATAGATTTTTTTATATTTATGTAAATATAGTAATTGTGTTTTGCTACACCACTGATTAAATAAAACTAATGAAAATATCATAAAACTTAGCTGTACACAGTGATCTTTTGTTTATAAAATCAATGAAATATCTGTTACTATATGTTTACTTCTTAATGGTAAATGTGAAAATGTAAGAGCAATGAACTATGGAACAAAATAAAATAACTTGTTCGTATATTATGTTGTTCGTTGACATTGTTGTAGAGTAAAACCATAGATGCAATGAAACATATACCGTATTACTATTAAATTTTTTCGCCCTTGATGTTTTGATAATCATTAGTTTTGTCTATAATCTTAAATGCTTATTTTCATTTGTAAATTAAATAATATGTACTAAAGATAAACAAATGTGTTAAGGGTGTGGATAGGTTTGTTTACCTTGGGGCAGAGCTGAATAGCAAAAACACTGTTGCGCTATAAATCACAAGCTGAATCATGGCTGGTATCAGAGCATATTATGCTAACCTTAAGATCCTCAAATCCAGGCTGATGACCCGCAAGACAAAGATGAAGCTGTACAAAACTCTCATTAGGCCTGTTGTTACATACAGTGCAGAAACCTGGTCCCTTTCCGCATTGAACACAAAGGCCATTAGGGTTGAATTTTGTTTGTAAAAGCGTTGGTCAGATGTGTAAATTTTATACAACAGATGTAAAATCAAAATGTTTCTATTCAGGTCCTCTTCCCGTTGCAAAGCACGGGTACAAAAGCTAGTTGTTTAATAATTTAGACCCTGTGGCTCAGGTATTTCATTAAACTGAAACAAGGCAAATTGGTTGTGGTTAGAATGGGAATATTTTATTACTATCTTTGAATAGTATTACATCGTTCAATCTGGTTTCCTTATAGCTAATAAATCAAGTTGATAAAATATTAGAGCAACACAATTTAGTCAGTGGAATTGATGAAAATTAGGATAAGCGTGATCAATGTATCGTTATTATTCGTATTGGTGGTTAAGCAGTTATTATAAATGTCACTATACAGTATAGATTATGATAGATAAAAAACTTTAGATAGTAACATTACATAAATTAAACTATAAAACAGCTTAAAAAACTGTATTCATAACTTGCAACACGATAGTATAAAACATAATTAGGGCGTAAAATCACCCTTTTCGACCCGAGTTTAAGTTTTGTGATCGAGCCGAAGTTGAGGTCAGAAAATGAAAGAGGGTCGTAAAGACACCTTTTTCCCCGATTAACAAACTAAGCCATAAAAAAAAAACTTTTCACGTAAAGATAACCTCTTTAATCGACTTTCAGCTTTGTGCGTCAATTCTAAAGTAAATAAGCAGCTGTTTAGTAAGTGATTAAATAATTTCGTCTATTAGATTGTGTTACTGTAAATTATGTCGATATGTCGAAGCATTGATACGAATGCAACAATCAATGGGCTACAACCTATTAAATAAATCAAAATAATTTCGATTCATGTGATAGCTACAATTTAAATTTACAACTGTTTACATAAGTTCATTTTTACTCCCTAGGGACTAAAAAGGGTAAGTGAGTTTTTTTACTCACTGACAGTAGCCTTTTTGGCCACTTTAGATTAGCAACTCCAAAGCACATTAAGCACGTTAAAAGAACGGTTGTTTTCGCTGCAGTATGAACAAATATTTTCCAATTAATATTAATTGAAAACGTATGATTATTTTTCGTGAAACAGCTGTTAAAAAATAAATATTTGTTCCGAAATTTCTTGATACTTCATCTTATTTACACAGGAAGAACAAAGCTCACTGCTAAAATCACACAACTAGTGTCATCCATCTTCCGAACAATATCAAACTGTCGTCGGTGGCTTGTCTTAGCCGTTCATCTAAGAGCATAGACAATACACCGTGTTTATAAATGTTTGTTGTTTGGAAAATAAATAATCACTGACTTTACAAGCCTACTCTAGTTGTAAATAACAATTTAAAAGTTTCAAAGAGTGCTGCGCATAGTGTATAATGCATTTTTAATTGTTCAGAATTCATGTAATTAATCTTCTTAAATCCTACCTAGGTGGAGATTAGATGTGCTGTTGTTTATATTATTGTTTTTTTTGTCCTAGGACGCTAGGCACGAGCCTGGAATTGTTTTTCACATTACTTCAGGCTAGACCTCGGGGTTGCTGCATTATCACTTGGATAAAATACATTGGTGACATGGCGGGGATAGAACCCGGGACCTCAGAGACTGAAGTCCCGCGCTCTAACCACTACGCCAGCTCGCTCCCCCTATATTATTGTATTAACAACAATAAGCTTTCGAATACTGATATTAAAAGCATATGACTTATGGGTAATCTGTTAAACATATGTATTACGTTTTAATTTATAACATAAGTACATATAAGTATATTGATAATGACGGCATTGTTATCGATTTTGCATATAAATACATAAGTAATTAATGTACCAACTTTTGCTAATGCTACTTATAAAACTGTGACACTCTTATCTGATATAATAAATATCGCAAAATAACAAAGTATAACCAAATAACTTTTATTGTTAATACATTCTTCACATGAATACACTTTAGAACTAATTGGATGGTTAACTTTAATGCCTATATAAAACAATATTTATACAGAAAGTTGTAAAATTAAGAAATGTAAAAGGAACATATTTTTTTCTCTAAATTTGTAATTTTTTTTCTTTTACACACGAAAAGCGTTTAAAGTATTAATTCAAGTTATGCCGACTTATAGAAAAAAAGGAAACGGCCATTTCGCTTTAAATAAATAACGAAATAAGCTATAAGACGCATAAAGTACGGAAATTGTTGAATCAAAATTTTTTTTCAAGTAATGAAAAAGGGCAAAAGTAAAATTATTTGTTTAAAGATTTATCACTCTAACACTTTTCTTTAATGCATTTTTGTCAACGTTATCTTTGTTATTAGAGTTATCTATTTTGGAGTGTTACTACGGTTAAACCTCCTAAAAAAATTACAAAAACAATTTTTTCTAAAACATGTTCAGTTAAATGGACTAAGCTTTTTTCATTAATATAGAAAATGATGTTTTATAAAAATACAACCGAATTTAGAGCGTGTAATAGCAACGTATATACTAATACATTGTATGTAGATAGTAGAGCCTAGTCTATAAGACTTAGACAGAGTCAAAATGACAGATTTGTCAAGCTCCTTCTAAAATTATTTTCGTTACAAGGGTAGTATAAGTATCTTTAATTCTTAGAGTAACAAAATATATTAATAAGTACTAATGTATACAATTTTTACGACCACGCTGAACCTAAATTGCTTCCTTTAAAATATCCTCTGAAGGTACTTGGAAAGTTTTTTTGTATAACAAAACCTTCTTCATGCCGTATCTTTGAATCCAAATCATCGGACCACAAATTCTAAGGGTGTTAATGTAATATGATTCCATAACCATCATATAGCATAGTATTGTTGTTTAAAGGTTTGTTGCGGAAATTTTCCATCACGAATGTAAAAAACAATACACAACGTTTCGGGATCTGGAATCTGATCCCGTCCTCAGGTGAAACAAACTTAACTAATACATTACAACTAACAATACACAAACGCCCAACCTAAGTTGGAATACACTACAGAGGGTAACATAGAGGGTAATTCGTGATCGAAAATGTCCGCAATAAACCTTTGAACAACATTAACTCACCATCACCAACAATAAACTTCAAACGGAGCATAGTATTATTTTGCACAACTTTCATACTGTATAAATTCAACCAAACTGAGTATCAACATAATTACAAAGCTCGTGTAGATAATGATTTGTTCACAGCTTAAAATACCTTGTTGAAGATTGATTCCACAAACTCAATTAGCCTCTCATTCCAATCGAGATCTATCGTTTTAGCTGTTGATTTGCAGATAAACTAAATGTTATTGATAGTGTATTTCTGATTATACTTGATCGATGCTGATTTCCTGAATACACAACGATGATTTAATGATTCTGAAACAATCATTTTGTTCTATTCGGAAAATTACATTGCAAAAACTTACTATTATGTATTGAGATACTGTTTCAATATTAAAGTAACGCTACTAAACCTCTTACTGCATGAATTAAAACTGAATTATCTACATTTCAATCGATGGAAAGTAGTTTTTTAGGATACAAAGAACTAAATTGTCATAAAATCGGGGAATTTAATTTTCAAGTCAATCATAATTTCAATACGTGATAGCCAAATGAGTCCAATGAAGATTTTACAAATGAATGTATTTATTCAACTTACTACTATGGCCTCTGCAAGGCCTGCATGGCCTCCTCATCCACCAATGAAAATATTAGCAATTTGAGGAGCCTCTTGTTACTTTTTGATTGTCTTTTACAATTTAAACTCAAATATGACTGTTAGTTGGTTTCCATACAAATGGCGATGTTTCAAAAGGCAATAAAGCCAACAATTTATTTGTTATATTTTATTATCTGTATTGTTTGGTAGGCTCACTCCAGTTGAAATTTTGAAGTTTTCTTGTGAAATTCCAAATGATTTAAATTTTCAATACTCGTTCAACCAGTTGTTAGCCCAAACGTCCATATCATCTGTTAAGTCGTAGGAGATGTCTCTCATAGGATATACTCTGCCAGCTTCAGCCTCCTACGTGAAAGTAAAGGTCAACTTGAAATTAAACATAATTTAATTTAATTTATAGTAAACTTAATTTTATAATATAAAACTGAATAGCTACCAATTTGAATAAGCAATGCGTATGTATGAAAAGTTCAACATAAAAAATATGTAATTTATAAATGTACTTTAGACTCAACAATGTTTATAGATAGTATTTATTATGATAGTGTGAATTTAATTACTTACGTGATTTACCAGTGACATAATGAAGGCGAAAATCAGCCACATTAATAGCATAGCCATTGTTTTACAGTACCTAAAATCAACAAGGTCACAGTTTTCAAAGACTGGTTTAACTAAAATACTAAAAACGTTATTTAATGTTGACGTTCTTCTGTTATATCAACCACGACAGGTTAGGTTAGTTGTACATGAAAAAAATACGTTTCATTTAATATTTTTTTATGTTTGGTTACCTAACCTAACCTGGTGTTGTCTATATAATAGGATTCAACATTATTATAGAAGAGTACCTATCTTGCACATATGGCTTCGACATTTTCTTCTTTAAGCTAAGTATACATCTTGAATTACTGTTATAAATCAATAACTGTTGTAAATGACTCCAAAAAACTTTTCTATAAATTATTTATTATGAATACCCATACTAGGAGTTGCGATTCACGAGAATTTAAATGTTAAAGTTGATGCAAGACTTGTGTTAATCAAAACGAATGCAAATCCCTTGGTTAGGTATTAGATTTTGCCTTGAAAACACCGTTTAAGGCATTGTTTAAACTCAACCATCAATGCTGTGGTTATTTTTTTTCTCTAACAATAACTGACTGTGCATGATACAAAAGTGAATAGTAAACAATTAAAAAGTTAAAATAGTTTGTTTATATGCTATATAAATTTAAAAATTATAATAGACAAATTATAAGTACTTATTTTTGGTTTTGTAAAAGTCATGGAAAATATCTTTGACACATTACCCACCTGATGAATTCTGAAAGTATGCTTACTCAACTGGTTGTTTTTAATTAGAATTAATAAATTACTTGTCTATTGTTCTTTTGTTGTTTAATGCCTCATTCATCATTTTAAATAGTATTCCTTGTTGTTTCTAACTGATAAAAATATTAATGACTGAATGATCATGTGCAAACGGTAAGAGTTATCATGTATTCATTAAAACAATCCATGTGTTACAGCTGCTACTGTGTTAGTGTGGTGTGTGCATTTTTACAAACTTAGCAAATAATAAATGTAAAACGTTGTCAAAACAAAACATAATCTAATTTTAATTAAGTTAAATGTCAGTTTAGAAGTATGAAAAAATCTGGGAACAGTTAACTTTAGTTTTCCGATAATGATTTAACAATAAAATTTACCTCTGTAGAATAGTAAAATAGTGAAATAAAATGTTCCTTATATTTCACAAACAACGCTAAGAGAATTGTCACTTGCACAGAACTTCGTCTTAATCCTGTGCTATCCTGTCGTAACCTAACGTTACGCTAGAAAAGTGGACAAAACAGGAAGAGAACCACTTACGTTCGTTGGTGGACATAGAAGACGGAGCCGTGACGAATCATCCCACTTCAGGGCTCAGTGCACAGTGCAGCCACCCCGCAAAACATAATAACTCTTCCGTTACTAATAATTATGACTGTTCATATATGAAACTACAAATGACTTCTACTATACTCGTCTTCCCCATAAAAAAAATCAATATCATACATTCAAAATTAACTCAACTTTCAAAATAAAATAAATTCACTTTCAATAAAATGCAACCAAAATTTCTTCTTCCCATTATTCATTAATAATTTTACAAGTCCAGCCTGTGAGGCTTTCGCACAGTCCGTGCAGACTTCCTCAGCGAGGGTGGTGGGCTGCACTGTGCTAGCGGCGACGCAGGAGTTGGCTGAGGCTGGGCTTGCCCTAGGCTCTCCCTGGGACTGGTAGTAGGCCTAGGTACAGGTGACATCATCAGGGGACTAGTTGGTCGATCCTCCGGCGGGGATGAATTCTTGGGTACTTGGGGTGATACAACGGGATCCTTGGGTGATACAAAAATCTCCTCCTCTTCTGCATACCGAGCTCTCAAGTGGTCTGCATGACAAAATCGGGGTTTTCCACCAATGACACTCACAAGATAGGTGACCGGACTTCTCTGTAGAATTATTTTGCCAGGAACCCAAGATATCTTTTCATTTCGGACAGTTTTGACATAGACTGCCTGACCTTCTGAGAAAAATCTACTTCCTCCCCTAAGCCTATCAGCTGCATCTTTTTGTTCCCTGTGTTTTTGATCAATGGATGACTGGAGATTGGGTTTTAACATAACCAACTGTGTACGAGGCTTCCAAGACAGGAACATTTCTGCAGGGGTTAAGCCAGTAACTGTATTTGGAGTGTTGCGGTACGCAAACAAGAAATTATCTAATTTCATTTGAAGAGTGGTACGCTGAGAACGCTGATGTTCCTCAATCACTTGACGCAAAAGGTTTTTCTTGACCTCCTGAACACTTCTCTCTGCAGATCCATTTGAAGCCGCATGATACGGGGGAGTTAATGTGAACTTCACATTGTTGCTATGCAAAAAGGTTTTGAACTCTTGACTAGTAAAAGATCTTCCGTTGTCCGACACCAGTTCGACAGGCAATCCATACGATGAAAACAAGGTACGGAGTTTCTCAATAACCTTTGGAAGAATTCATGGAACTCATGATAAATACCTCTAACCATTTAGAGTATGTGTCAATCAAAACTAAAAGTTGCTGTCTCGACTCTGGATCCTCCGCAAAGTCAATGTGTATCCTCTGCCATCGGGTTGATGTTGTAGGCCATTGCTGCAACGGTACTTTAGATATCGAATTCCTAGTTAACTGACAAGCAGAACAAGAGGCCACCACATCTTCAATCGACTTCTCCATGCCTGGCCACCAGACATAACTTCTCGCCAGCATCTTCATGCGTGTAACTCCCGGGTGTTGATCATGCAACATTTGAAGCACAGATGAATACAGTTTCTTTGGAATCACTACACGAGAACCCCACAGCAAACAACCTTGTTCCACGGACAACTCGTCCTTCTTCCTTAGAAAATAGCTAGTTCCGGCTCAACCGAGCTCGTCCAGCCGTACATCACAAAATCTCGGACCTTCGAAAGAATCGGATCCTTATCCGTCATTTTACCTATATGCAAGGCAGTAATAGGTGCAATGTCCTTGACAACACAGAAATTGTTCATCACTTCTGTACACATATCTACATGTGAAACAAAATTAGCATCCAGCTCTATAGGTTCCGCTTCTGCTAAGGGTAGCCTAGACAACGCATCAGCATGAGGGACATCCACTCCCTTCCGGTACCTAACCTCCAAATCATATGCTGATAGAATCAAGGCCCATCTCTGCAGCCTAGCTGCCGCCATACTAGGAACGCCCTTTTTAGAGCCAAAAATAGCCGTCAACGGCTGATGATCAGTCTGTAGAATACAGTGTCGTCCATATATATACTTATGAAACTTTTTGACTCCAAAGATCAAAGCCAGAGCCTCCCGATGTAACTGGGAATAATTCCGTTCACTGGAACTTAGCGTTTTCGATGCGAAGGCAATTGGCCTTTCCTGCCCATCGATAAGATGAGATAGAACAGCAGCCACCCCTCTGGGACTCGCATCACACGTCAGAACTATGGGCTTTTTCACATCATAGTGAACTAACAAACTTGAGTCCAACACCCATGATTTACTCTCCTGAAAAGTCTTAGAACACACCTCCGACCACACCCATGGATGATCCTTATGTAATAAGTCATAAAAACAGCTTATTCTAGCAGACAGGTTAGGTATAAATGCATGATAATAATTTATTAGACCAATATAGGCTCTTAACTCTTCCTTAGTACTAGGCTCAGGCGCTTTACGCAGCGCAGTTAACAAACTTTCTTGTGGACGGAGACCATCTCGGGTAATCACATGTCCTAAATACTCTATTGATGATTGCAAAAACTTACACTTTTGTTGGTTTACTCGAACTCATCAAGGCAATGCAGCACTTGCGCCAGACGGGCGAGCCCCTCTTCCTTAGAGCGAGCCGCTACTAAGACGTCATCTAAGTACGCCACCGTTCCTGGAAGACCTGTTAAAATTTGGTCGATGGCTGACTGAAAAATTGCAGGAGCTGAAGACAAACCATATGGTAGCCTTTTTAATCGATACAGACCCTTATGGGTGGCTAAGGCCAACAGATGTTGCGATTCATCCGCTACCGCCAATTGCTGATACGCATTTGAAAGATCAAGGCAGCTAAAAACTGAGCAACCGCCTAGAGTTGCAAAAATATCTTGAGCCTGTGGAAGCGGGTAATGTTCCATTTCAATACACTGATTAAGGGTAATTTTATAATCGGCACAAAGCCTAACACCATTAGGCTTAGGGACAACCACAAGTGGAGTGCTCCACTGTGAATTAGTAACTCTGTACGCAACATCCTCTTGAACCATGCGGTCCAACTCACTCTCAACTTTCTCCCTTAACGCAAAAGGCACTGGTCTCGCCTTACAGAACTTAGGGACTGTCCCTTCCTTCAAAACAATGTGAGCCTTAACACCCTTAATTTCGCCCGTTCCAGGCTGAAAAACTGACCTAAATTTACTCTTCAACTTAGCAATGTCCAAATCAGAACTGTGATCCACAGTAGCTTTACATGAAAACACATTTTGCCAATCTAACCTCAACTGACCTAACCAGTTTCGGCCCAACAGAATCGGTTGACTCTTACTTTCTAAACTATTTACTGTCAAAGGCAAACTCGCCTGCTGATTATTATATTTAACATTGACATTCACTTGTCCCAGAACAGGTACATCATGACCTGAATAAGTAGTAAGTTTCACATTTGCTGGCCTAATAGCCCAGTCAATGAATGCAAAAAAACACCCTTTTTCGCAACTAAATGGTGGAAAGCTGGATTTTTTATATGTGATAGAACCACATGAGAGGTGTATTTTCCCAAAAGTCCCCACTTCTACCCCTTGAGCTTTCCCCCCCACCCCCTCCAAACATAGAAATTGCAGTGTTTTACGTAATTGATCATAACTCGAATGCTATGTAAGCTATCGAGCTGCAATTTGTTTTGTTTGATTTCGGATTAGTTTTCCTACAACTTTTATATTTAAAACATTTTTCTAAAACCAATACTTAGGGAGATATAAAATTTAAACTTCGTTAAAAGCTTTGTTTCAGAGTGCAAAATTTTGTTTTTCTCTATGTATACTTTTAAATTGAAATAATACGCAAATATGGTCCAAACAAAAGTTTTAGTAAGTTTTTCAAGGTTTACAAATATATTATTGGTTAGTCATCTAGGTGACCGGGTAAAGAGCTGGGCGTCGGCAAAGAGAGCGCGTGCGGGCTAGTTGAACACCTCTGCGCTGCGTCATCGCATCTATCCCAGCCAATAAACGCGCAAACTGCCTTTTTTCGTAGCTAAATAGTGGAAGGCTGAGTTCGTTATAATTGATGGAACCACTTAAGACGTGTATCTTCAAAAAAGTTCCCGAATCTCCCCCTTGAGCTTTCCCCCCAACCCCTTCCAAACGTGGAAATTACAGTCGTTTACTTTACTGGATATAATTCAAATTCTATGCATGCCATCGTAGTGAAATTTGATTTGTATTATTTATAATAAGTTTATCTACAAATTTTTACTAAAGGTTTTCTTATAAAACTATATACAAAAAAATATAACATTGTAACTTTTTTTGATAATGTTTATGTTTTAGAGTACACAATTTTGCTTTACCATCTATATATTTTTTCCAAATAAAATTCGCAAAATGTGACAAAACAAAATTTTAGTATGTTACTTAAGGTTCATAAATATATATTTGGTTAGTCATCTGAAAAAACTAATGTAGTGTAGACGTCGGCAAAGACAGCGCGTGCAGGCTTAAGAGCATCCGCGCAGCGCAGCTCCGCCTGTCGATGCATAATAAGGACCGGCACCGCTAAGTTCTCAACTGTTTCATACAAATCCTAAGACTTCCTGATTTTTAGCCTACTTAACTACCAAAACAATCTGTTTCCAAGCTAAACCGTGACTAAATGAAGCACCTCGCGGTCAGTTAACAGTTTTCGTCGACCCACTAATCCTTGATACAAACTGCGTCCTATCATATGTCCCTCTCTTCACGCTTCCCGCTAGCAAGGGTTAGCTTTCTGCTCTGCCATGAGTTGTAAGCCTGTGTTAAAATAATACCACGAACAACGTAGAAAACTGTCGGTAATATTTATAAGCCATTTTTAATCATGGTAAGGAATACAAATTAAAACCAGTCAATGTCAACTAATTTGTTTTATTAAGTCTATATAGAGGAGATTTTAAAATACTTAATAAGCGCCTTCATCTTTATTAGCGATGTTAAACGTTTGCATAATGTCTACCACAAACCAATAAAGAACTATTTATTTATTTATTTACTTATTTATTCCAACGGATACACTATTTACAAAATAATACGGTATATATTTAAGCACAGTAGAATAGAAAGATAAATTGCATTTGAAATAATAAGAGAAGCTGCATATACCATTGAACAAAACATCATTGCAACAAAGAGTAATAACAACAAGATAGCAACGTAACAACAATAACAGATGATAACATTAACAAAGTATAATAACAACAAACAGACAGCATAACAGATTACAGATACTTAATAACAGAACAATTTTAATATTAAATTGGATTTCAGAAAATGCAAGTAGACTTTGAAAGTAGCAATAACAGAGATATCTCCTGAAGATTTAACAATAAACTATGATGACTATAACTCAAGGGAGGGACATATCAATGATAGTACGCAGTTTGTATCAAGGATTAGTGGGTCGACGAAAACTTTTTTCTGACCGCGAGGTGCTTCATTTAGTCACGGTTTAGCTTGGAAACAGATTGTTTTGGTAGTAAAGGATTGTTTTGGTTGTTCCTACAAATTATGAAGTCTTAGGATTTGTATGAAACAGTTGAGAACATAGCAGTGCCGGTCATTATGATGCATTGACGGGCGGAGCTGGCGGAGCTGCGCGGATGCTTTAAGAAGCCTGCACGCGCTCTCTTGCCGACGCCCCACACTACATCAGTTTGTTCAGTCGACTACCCAAATATATAATTAATTATAAACCTTAAGTAACATACTAAAATTTTTTTTTGAAACATTTTGCTTATTTTATTTGGGAAAATATATAGAGAGTAATACAAAATTGTGTACTCTAAAACATAAACATTATGAACAAAAGTTAAAATGTTATATTTCTTTGTATATAGTTTTATAAGAAAACCTTTAGTAAAACATTTTTTGATAAACTTATTATAAATAATACAAATCAAATTTCACTACGATGGCATGCATAGAATTTGAATTATATCCAGTAAAGTAAACGACTGTAATTTCCACGTTTGGAAGGGGTTGGGGGGAAAGCTCAAGGGGGAGAATCGGGAACTTTTTTGAAAATACACGTCTTAAGTGGTTCCATCAATTATAACGAACTCAGCCTTCCACTATTTAGCTACGAAAAAAGGCAGTTTGCGCGTTTATTGGCTGGGATAGATGCGATGACGCAGCGCAGAGGTGTCCAACTAGCCCGCACACGCTCTCTTTGCCGACGCCCAGCTCTTCACCCGGTCACCTAGATGACTAACCAATAATATATTTGTAAACCTTGAAAAACGTACTAAAACTTTTGTTTGGACCATATTTGCGTATTATTTCAATTTAAAAGTATACATAGAGAAAAACAAAATTTTGCACTCTGAAACAAAGCTTTTAACGAAGTTTACATTTTATATCTCCCTAAATATTGGTTTTAGAAAAATGTTACAAATACAAAAATTGTAGTAAAACTAACCAGAAATAAAACAAAACAAATTGCAGCTCGATAGCTTGCATAGCTTTCGAATTAGGATCAATT